CTCTGGTGACCAACACAGACCGAGCACCTTGTGTGTATCGGAATCGTCGAATTCCTTTATCGCCGAAAGACGGTGTGATAGTGGGATTGTATCTAAAACCGGACGCGAATTACTAGTCCACTTCACAAGATCGAATTGACCCGATTTCATGAGCCTTATAACCTCGGCGGTGGTTAGGGTGGCCTCCTCCACGCTATCGACCGAATACACAAAATCATCCATATATAATCCGCTCTCAATTGCCCTCTTAGCTTTAGGATAAGAGGGACCTTCATCGTGAGCGAGCTGTCTCACCGTGCGTAACGCATGAAATGGGCTCGACTTTAAACCAAAACAAACGCGGTTAAATTCTAACACCATTAGAGGTTCCTTTGGGTGGAAGCGATACAAAATGCGCTGGAATCTACGGTCGCATTCACGGACCCCTATGCAAAGAAACATTTGGCGAATATCGGCGGATAGTGCTATACTAAACAAACGAAAATTGACTATTATATCAAATAAGCTGCCCTGTAAATTTTGCCCACTATAGAGGATATCGTTAAGCGACAGGTGAGTGCTAGTTTTAGCACTAGCGTCGAGCACTACACGTAATTTAGATGTAAGTTTGTCCTCTCTAATGACTCCGTGGTGTGGTATAAAATACGACGGTGTGTCTTCGTAGTTATCTAATTTCGAAGCCACAAGTGATATGTAACCTTCTCTTATATATTCGTTAATGACGCCGTCGTAAGCTTCCTTTAACTGGGGCGAAGCGAGCATCCTACGCTCCAAGCTGTAGAAACGTTTTTCCGCCATTTGACGCGAATCGCCGAGAGATAAAACATCTCCCTTAAAGGGTAGCGCTACACTATATCTACCGTCGCGATCACGAACGGTCGTGCGGACGTAAATTTCCTCGCATATCCTGTCAGCTGAACTAGCTATGGGTGGGACGTTCACCTCCTCCATCTCCCAAAATTTGCGGACTAACGACTCGAGCGGTTCGACAGCCATACCACAATAAGATGCTGCCGAAATACTATCTAGGATGGGGGCGGAGCCAAGGATCACATAGCCCAATACGGTTTCCAGTGCGTAAGGCGCGGTATGCGAGGAGTTGCCCCTGACCTTATTGTTTAACAAAAGATGAGGGAAAAGCGATGCCCCAATGAGCATGTCTATGTTTCCAGGAACGGCGTAAGTGTCGTCTGCTAGAGTCAAATTTTTAAATTCAATCATTGCCGAGGTGTCAACCGAAACGGTTGGCAACCGTTCAGTGACCCTATCTACTACTAGTGCATTTATATCAAAGTTAACGTTACGATCTATCCGAGAATAAAATTTTAAATTTATATATCCCTGTGTCGCTTTACTAGTACCTCCGATGCCTTTAACTACAGGACATGAAAGTGACCTATTTATTACTAAGCCTAAGCGCTGACAACATTGTCGTGTTATAAAGCTATTTTGGGCTCCGCTGTCCAGCAGTGCACGGACGCTTTGTTTGTTTCCACGCGAATCCCTAACCAAAATACGCGCCGTACCCAGTAACACGGTTGAAGGAGGTTGTGGTCCCATATTTGCCAATGAGCACAGAGCGACATCATCAGGTCGACCGCTAGAATCGTTGACCTTAGTAGGGGTGAATTCCTTATTCGCCTTACTTGACGCCGCTATGTTGCTATTTTCAAAATGTAATAGCGTGTGATGTTTCCTGGCGCACTTGCTACATACGGAACTCGAATTGCATTTTGCAACTAAATGCTTATCGCTTAAGCAGTTCAAACATAGGTTGTTTGTCTTTACTAACTTATAACGTTCGCTTGGTGAATATTTACGAAAAGTCGCACAGTTATATAAGTTACCGTGTTTATCTTTACATACTATACAAGTATGCTGGAGCGATGTCGGCGTAGCGGTTACGTAAGTTAACGACCCTGCTATTTTAGATGATTGAGTCTGTCTACGGTCGACGCACCTTTTAATCTCCTGTTTAACGTTCGGTGAGCGCTGCATCACCTTTATTTGATCTCGCACGAACGATGCTAATGAATGAAAGGAAGGCATCTCCGAGCTACGATGCTCCATTTCAAACGCACGCACGGTGTCGGAGTCTAGTTTCTTCAATGCTATATGGAGAAACACCACGTCCATGAGGTCATTAAACTTCAAATTCTTAAGTGCAGCCACCGATGCCACAAATTTATCGAGAAACTGCTCTAAGCCGTTGATGTTCGCGGATGATATAGGTTTAAGATCGAATATCTGGTTCAAATATTCGGAAGCTAACATTCTCCTATCTTCATATTTAGTTTTAAGCGTTTCAAATATTAATACGTAATTGTTTGCTGTAGGTGTAAAACCCGAGCAGATCGACTGTGCTCTGCCACTAAGTTTGCTAATTAAGTAATATAATTTTTCAGCGTCCGATAACGATGGGTTGTTGTGTATATTGTTTTGAAAACTACTGAAGAAGAAGGGCCACGTCTTAATATCACCATTGAATACCGGAATATCTATTGGCGGTAACCTAATTGAGTCACGAGGGCGTACCTGCATTTCAGGCTTCGCTTCACCTTGAGATTGTAGCAATTTTGCGGTTCTCTTCACGCGACACAACATATCTTCGAATGCCAGCAGCGGTTGGTAGTTCACTATGTATTTCGGGTCGGTTTGTAGTTCCGAATGATTAATTTGGTCTAATATTCTTTCGTAATCTGTCCGCAAATTATCAATCGTTTCGATTTCATTTAAAAAGGCCTCCCGTACTGCCTCTATATGAATGTTCTTTATATAATCACTTATATTTTGCACACGCGAAAAGAGTATGTCCCTCTTGGCATAAAGCGTTTTAATTTTGATTTCACTTCCACTAACTGCCATTTTAAATTATTATAATAAAGTTATATTAATCACAATTAATCTCACACGCATAAACGACGTAGGATGAATACTCGGCGTGCTGTATTACGTAATCAGATCGAGCGCCCGATGCAGTCAAGGCTACGCGTCGTTTGCTAAACCTAATAATTTTATAAAATTGTGGGGTAAGCGTATCAAACGGTTGCTATCACGCCGTTTCAATTATTTAATAAGCTTTAAATTTAACCAAATACGAGCGCTATTAAATGAATAATTCTGTTTGCGAGTAACAAATCAAAATTTTAATTTAAACGAACACTATTTAAGTCTATTCCATAAGTTAGAGTGCGTTATCTAAACAATTAATTTAATAATTCGACCAGAAAATGGTTGGATAACCACTAAACACCAATCCAGATCCTGCCGAAGTGACCATAAAATGATGGAGCCACGTGTTTGAGGCTGCCGAAAATCTAGTTCCCCGGTCAAACCTCAAACCTATTACGCGAGATATTAACTAAAGTGGACTGTATATGCGATTGCTTCTATGTTTATGTGAAGCGACTACTATAGTATGCGGTACAATGCACTCGCTCTTCCCTAAACTAAACTATTACTTGTCGAATCGATGAAAGGAATCCTGCTTGACTAGGAAAAAAACACAAATTGGAGCGGGTTAAATTATTAGCAAGCAGGTATAATTAAGGAGTATTGACTCACCGGGGGGTTCTTCTTCCTGTCGATCACTATAGCGGCGACTTCTGGAACACTCCGGAGAGAGGCGGTGCGCGACGATATCTCACACGAGGTGAGGCGGGTTCCTGGAGCTCGACTGCTTCCAGGCCAAAGCGGTTTCCACTAGTGAGGTGTTTCCAAACGAGCGCGCGGGAAGAGGAGGTTGTAGTTCAACGACGACTGCGGCGGGAGAAGAGAGCGCGCGTCGGTCGCGCGTGTCTTATATATCCTCGGGTCCGATGATTACGCGATGTTCTAGAATCGTCTTCTTTCCCCTCCCACCCCACCACCCCGATGTGTCGATAGGAGGGTACGAATGATATTGTTTCGGAAGGGAATAATGATTCGACAAATTCCTACCGTCAAAAATAAAAAACGCGAATGGTTTTCCGCGCAACCATTCTACGACCGTCTTATTTATATCCTCCACTGTATTCTAATCCGCGATTGTTTCTAATCACTAGCAGTCACTGAAAATTGTTTTTTATACGAGCTAAAAATTGTCAGAGCTTTAGATGATAGCACGAGGGGGTTGAAGAGTTGAACATGAACAGAAAAATAAGTTAAAGAAATGGAGAAGACGATAAGAAAAGTAGTGTCAAAAACCATTAACATTTCATCATCATCATCACTACAGCCCATCACAAGTCCACTGCTGAACATAGGTCTTCACTAAAGTATACAAAAAAAAAGCACAATTCTAAGTCACCTGTATTGATTTCGTGAATCGTTTACCAGGTCGTCACTCAATCTAATGGGGAGCCGCCCAATAATTGGTTGTAGCTTGATCGAGCTAAGCCAGCCTATTGCATTTTTTAAAACCAGTGGTAAAAACACAACTGACTTTTAATAAGAATTCTTCTAATATAAATTAAATAGAATAAATTAAATGGAATCCTGTATTAGGTTCCGAGAATGGCGGTTGGTGTCATTCTCGTTCCGTAAATCTTTGCGAATAAATAATTGTTTTTCTAAACTTAACACTACATAAATGAGTGCATTCCGCGTTCGCAGCAGTAATAGTGACAGTGTTATACAGGTTAAAAACTGTGTAATTCGTCAAATACGACAGAAAAGTGCAAGTTCGAAGTTAGTACTGAATAAGGAGTATTAAAGGACTAAGAGCAAAACAGGTTTTCATTAAACTATTTACAATATAATTTACAATATAATAATGATATAAAACAATGTCCCAAAGAATTTAGAACATATGTTGTGAATTTTAAGGTCGACAAATGTTTCTATGTGAACAAAAACAGCTGCCTCATTTCACAGATCAACGCATAATCTCTAACAGATTAATCTTCGTTCGAAAACCGCACAGATAACAAGTTTTAAATTGGATGCCAGTCTTTTGAGACTACTCTGACTACTTTCTATTTACAAACAAAAAGTTCTGGTTAAAAAAAATTTTACATAAAATGGAGGAATGTGAAAATATAACATACCGTACCCAATACCGAAGAAATTCATTAACCGATGTAGACTCAGATAATTCGGCACTTTTTGATACAACTATTTCAAGTTTGCCTAACACTACGCTAAATCCTGGTCAAACCATACTTGAATTGAACGAAAATATTACAAAATTGTCTGACAATTTACAAATAGCACACCATGAGATTGAAAATCTGAATAGCGAGAATTTTCGTCTGAAATCAGATTTACAGAAATATTTGAAGATCGTAGAAACCTACAAAAGCTTAAATCTTACAGAGAATAAAAGATTTACACCGCGATCTGGACGAAAATGCAAACAAACCCGAAATACCGCTGTAACACCTGTAACAAAAAGCATACAGGAAATGGCGCCTTCAGCACGAATTATGTATAATGAAGCGACAGCAGCAGCCGAAAATACACCTGAGGTCCAAAGGATTCCAGAACCAGTAAACGAAGATTGTTCGACACAGAATCCGAAGACACAGCCAAACATCTAAACTGAATATGCCACCAAATGACACAAAATTGACTTCACTGAAAAAAACCTCAACACCAGAGAAGGAAATCGCACCTTTGATGAAAGTTACTACAACGGATGTTCGTAAAGATGTCAAACATTGAAAATTGTGCGTACTAAGCAACAGCACTCGAAGAGGCATACTACAGGCTATTGAAGACAATTTTGCAAGTGACTTTATATATAGTAATTACTCTTCACCAAATTGTAATATAAAACAACTTTTGCTCTTCAGCTGATATAAAATCAAAATTAAGATATTTTAATATGACCGATTATTGTATAATTTTATTAGGGGAGACAGACTTTAAACGTAACAACAATTATATTAATTTAGTAAAAGAAATTAACAATTGTTTAACACAGGTGACCCATACAAATATAATAATATGTATACCCACGTATATACGGGAGGCACCCATACATTACTTTAAGGTTGAAATGTTCAATAGTCTGCTCTGTATGGATCTACAATATCATAAATATGCATACTTTTTTGACTCCAACTATGACCAACACTTGACATGTTTTCATACAAATCAGGTAAAATAAATACAGCAGGAATTCAATGCATATTTAAAAATATAATAAAAATAATTAAAATTGACTTGGAATTATTCCCTGACCTGCCTAGTGACACAAACGGACAAAGCTCACAGTTTTTTCTTTTATAATAATACGCATTTTACATCAAAATACAGCAGGTCTTATAAACAAATCTGACACTCTGACGGTACATTTAGAAGAATTGGCACAAAATAACAAAGTTATAGACGTAATATGTTTATCCGAACGTTTTATGACACCAGACCAAGGGAGCATACTTGATATACCCAACTTCCGCCTAGCAACAAGTTTCTCAAGAGACATAAAGAGAGGAGGTATCTGTATATTAACTAGAATTGGTCATTAATATAAAATATTAAAAACTAATTGTACAGTTAAACGCGTAATAGAATGTAGCGCTATAGAACTAAGTGATCATGGACTGATAATAGTTTGTATATACAGGTTGCCTAATTCTTGTATAAACGTATTTTTCAATAATTTAGACATGTTATTACGCCAAATATGTGATAATACTAATAAGAAAATTATTTTATGCGGCGACTTTAATATAAATATACTAAAAAGAAACCGTCGGATTTTGAATATATTTTACAAAGTCACAATTTAAAACTAGAAATTAAAGAGTCTACTAGACTTAGTAGTAACACATGTCTTGATAACTTTGCTCACAGTATTCATAAATGTAAAAGTGAGGTTATTGAATTTGGATTATCAGATCACACAGCTCAAATTTTACAAGGTCCAGTCAAAAAAAAACAAAACATGCGTGATAAAATCTTGGCGTATTAGAAGACGTGATTATAGTAAGGAAAATCTCATAAAATGCAAAAATTGTATGAACATCTTAACTTTTTCTGATATTTATCACATAAACGACCCTAACGAAGCTTATAATCGTGTTATAGACCTCTTTCCATGTTTTTATAATCTATGTTTTCCATACAAAATAATAACTAGAACGTTACATAAAAAGTCAAAATCGATATAAAAAGGTATCAAAATTTTTAGTAAAATGAAAAGAAAATTATTATGGCTGTATAGGATTCATCCAACAAAATCAAATAAAAACAAATTCAAGCAATACGCCTCTAAGTTTAAAAAAATTATATCACTAACGCAAAAGTCACAAACAACTACTACATAAGTACATCACAAAATAAATCAAAAGCAACATGGTCAGTTATAAACAAGACTAAATTTAACTTTCCCAAAGAGCCTGTTACTGAAATATCTAACGACGATATCAAAATTAGAGATCCTATATCTATTGCGAATCACTTTAACGACTTTTTTATTGACCAAATAACAGAATGGGAGCATAAAAATAAATCAAAAAATAACGACCTAACACACTCAAATCCCAAAATTAATACTAACGTAAATTCAGTTTTTCTTGTACTTACAATGCCTATGGAGGTAGATAGAGAAATAAAACAACTGAAAAATACTCAAAGTGTGGGTTACGATGGTGTTTGCACTAAAGTTATAAAGTATGTGTCCCCGTTAATCGCTGCTCACTTACGCTACATAATAAATTTATGCATTTCTAATGGAATATACCCCGAAAAACTTAAAACTTCTATTGTTATTCCACTCCACAAAAAGATGACAAAAATATGGGAAACTATAGACCGATAACATTGATATCTATTTTTTCAAAATTATTTGAAAAAGTAATATATAGTCGACTATACAATTATTTAGAAAAATATAATATTTTGGTAAACGAACAAAAAGGATTTCGCAAGGGTAAATCTATAAACACAGCTATTTATGACTTAATTAAAACGATTTCAATCAGTGTGGATTTAAGAAATCCGATATGTGCAGCCTTTATGGATATAAGCAAGGCTTTTGACCGTGTTGACCATAAGATACTTATTCAGAAACTTAGCTTGTATGGCATAAGAGGTAATGCGCTAGACCTCATTTCAATAGAAAACAAATAACAGAAATTACACATATATGCCAGAAAACATGAAATGAAATCAAATATAGATCTAACACTAGAACCATAAAATTCGGAGTCTCACAAGGTAGTGTCCTAGGTCCCTTACTATTTCTGGTAAATATAAATGATCTCCCTAGACATATTGAACATCCAATGGTACTTTTTGCAGATTCTCAGTAATGATAAAATGTGATAGGCAAGATAATTACGAAAATGAAGTCAATAAAACATTAAATACAATAATTCAATGGTTCCTAAAAAAACAATCTTAAAATTAATATGGACAAAACAAAAATAATGCACTTTTATCAAAGAATGCAACCCATAACTATAAATGTTAGTTACCAAGGCAATACAGTACATCCAGTGACAAATACAAAATTTCTAGGAATTAATATTGATTATGACCTATCATGGAAAACATATCTAGATAATGTCTGCAAAAAAGTTAATCAATCCTCGTTTGCTCTTTACAAACTCTCCAAGATTGTCAATAAAGAAGCCGTTTTATTAGCCTATCACGAACTTGTTGCACCTATCCTAAGATATGGAGTAATATTTTGGGGCAACTCGGTAAATAAAGAATCTGCATTCAAAGCTCAAAAGAAATGCATCAGAGCAATGTGCCATCTGGATAATACTACAAGCTGTCAACCATACTTTAAACACTTAAAAATTCTGACATTGCCTTCGATGCATATCTACGAAATAAATCTATTTGTGAAAACAAATCCAAATTTTTACAAGACTGCTTTTAAAAGCTACTATAGACAGTTACACGACAAAAAAAGATTATACATAGAAATACCGTATGGAGATACAGCACTACTCAATAAAAGTATTCTTTGTATGGCATCACTGATTCACAACAAACTGCCAGATGATGTCAGAAAGTTGCCGATCTCACGATTTAAGACGATATTACACAAATTTCTGATTAATAAATGTTATTATAGTGTCAAAGAGGTACTCTTTGACATTATAATAACATTTTTAGAGGATAAAAGTATTATAATTTAATAGCAATAGTTTTAAGTTAATTGAAACTTAATAATAATAATTTGAATTTAATTATAATTGAGTAATAGTAATTTATACATTTACCTGATATATGTGACATATTGTAACAATTTAATAAGATTAGTATATTAAATTATAATTTAACTTTTAATTTTGTATGACAACATTTTGAATTTGATTGTTCGTATTATCAAAAATATTTAATTTCGAGTTTATATAACATCAAGGTATTTAATATGACAACAATTAGCACTATAGACTCAACTATTGACAATATTTTATTATTTTTTTTTTTCTTATTCTTAATTTTATTTTAAAGCGCCATTATTGAATTAGTAATGTGTAGACTATATTGATTTGATGGAATTATTCTAATCTGCCCATCCGTTTGACTATATCGATTACTTTTGTTCTACTGTTCTTCATAATGAAGTCTGAGCATGGCCCTATCTATAACTCGTTGAACGAATATTAACGGTTTATAGAAATTAATATTTATTTTATCCGTCCCACGACATATCTTCTCGGTTGTTGTTCCTTAACCAAAGATTTCTTAAAGTCCACAGCAAGAATGATGATTCATAATGCAAGCAAATTATTGTTAATCCAAGAATATAAGTTAGTCAACTGATCCCTTATGGAGATAATACGATATTTTTATAGCCTTACGTAAAACGAAAAGTAAATGTCTGGTATTGGAACTAAATCCCCGGAGTATTCGGTTCAAGTCTATTCAAAATGCAGCAGTCGCTGTAGGACAAAATCCTCTAACCGTTATTTACGTTTTACGTGCTTTCAATAACAATAAAAATGAAAAAAAAATCTACATCTATAATTTTTAAGAAACTTTGCTTACACAAGTCAAAATAATGTGTATGTGTTTTAACGTTATATCTATATTCGTATGTACTTTATAATTCATTATATAATACAGTATATTATAATACAATGTGCCTGCCAAGCGTGGTAACCTCACATATGGGGAAATTTGTGAAAGAGGCCTATGTTCAGAAGTGGGCAGTAAAGGTTACGGTATAATACTAAAATACTGTTATCTTCTGTAAATACAGAATGGTACTCACGAAAGGTCAGCGTTGAACTAATCTGGCAGTATCGAGACTATGCTGAGCGGAATACTAGTTAATACCTTTGAGTATTCAACCAACTGGAGAGGCCATGCGCGTTAATTCCTAAACAAAAATTCTGTCAACATCAGGGGGCGCAAGATAAAACATACAACTGTATACTTAACTACAAATGCAAAATTAAATCGTGTCACTATAAACGCACACTACAACATTTATGTTTGTGTTCATCGCGTTTACGTATACCATCAAATCGTACACGCGTCGATACACTGATAGCGCTGGCTGAATGCGTAAGCAACGTAGGGCGTGGACTATGTCGATATTTTTATCGATAAACAAATCACCATAGTC